AACACAAGGCACTCTGAAGCACGAGTTGCCCAGTGCCCTTCAGATCCTCAAAGTGCTAGCTCAAAAGATAACATCGGATAAATAGATTTTGGGCCGGAAAATTATAAAGAGCACAAAAGTGACAAGTTCCTGGGTGGTAGGGAGGAGATGGGTCATGGCAGGGGAACTGGGGCAGATGACATGATCAAAGTGGTGTATCCACTCTTCGGATGAATAGGATCTAAAGGGGGAGGATTGTCAGAGCAGGTGCCGGAAGAGGGCATGTCAGAGAGAAAATGGGATATTCGTGGAGGCAGAAAGGGCAGACGCAGTGTCGTCAGTCAGTATGGCTGGAATTGGCTAAGGAGAGAGAGACAAGGTTGAAGTCAGGATATGAATGTGTTATAAACGATTCAGACTTTTTTTTTTTTTTAACGGAGCAAATGGAGAAGGGGGAGGAAGTATTTCTTCACTGTCTCCTCTGCCCTAAACGCTGCTAGCACTTTGACATACATTCCTCACTTAGTTCCCCAAGGTTCTCAGAAGAGGAGAGCATGATGGATGCATCCTAGACTTCTGTTGGTGCATTTCCAACTGGAGGCTCAAAGGGGAAAGCGTTTTCTTCCTGCTCCCACGGCTGAAGGATCCGTGGCGGCTTACTTCTGTGAAAAGCAGCAAAGAGGGGCAAGAGATGGAAGGAGGGAGAGACGAGAGAGGAAGAGGGAGGGACAGAAGGGAGACAGAGAGAGGCTGGGGAGAGTCTGCTATGAAGACTGAGACCCACACAGTATCATGTAATTCATAGTGCCATCTATTATCTTTGTCATCTTCTCCTGATAAGAAGCAAGTCACAGGACCTGCCCATAATCGAGGGGAGAAGACTGTACAAGGATGTGAACACCATTACATAGGGACCGTGGGGGTCACCTTACAATCCGCCCATCCAAGTTGATCCTGTGACCCTCAATGATCCCGCCCCCTTCCCATGTGCAAAATACATTTGCCAAATTAGTGACTTCTAAGCTGTTTAATCTATGCAGCTAAAACCATACTAATAAATTGCTAGATCAGGATGCCTGGGTGGCTCAGTCAGTTAAGCACCTAAGTCTTATTTTGGCTCAGGTCCTGACCTCAGGGTCATGAAATTGAGTTTGGCGTTGGGCTCTGCGCTGGACATGCAGCCCAAGAAAGGATGCTTGACATCCTTTCTCCCCCCTCCCCCTCGGCCTCCCCCCCATTGCCCTCTCTCTTTCTACAAAGAATGGCTAGGATCTCACTAAAAGAAGGAATTTAAACTATTTTTAATCTACTTCAAAATGTTACATTTGCTGTCATGCCTATGAAAGAAAAGATGCAAGGACGGCAGAACTAGTTAATCCACACATGAAACAAAAATCCTACCGGGGCGCCTGGGGGGCTCAGTCATTAAGCGTCTGCCTTCAGCTCAGATCATGATCCCAGAGGCCCGGGATCAAGTCTGGAGTAGGGCTCCCGGCTCAGTGGGGGATCTGCTTCTCCCTCTCCCTCTGCCCCTCCCTGCCCCAACCGCTCCCCTCACCCCCGCCCCTGCTCATGCACTCTTGCTCTCTCTCAAGTAAGTGAATTAAAAGAACTTAAAAAAATAAAATCTTTCAAAATCAATCCTAATTTGCCTAGATCTCTCCCTCCCACTGAGTATTTTGCAAACACCCTCCCCCCAATTTCTGTACTCTATACCTGTTATTTATTCTCTTCCCCCTGCCAGGAAAAACCCTCTATACCACTATGTTTGAAGGAATTCAACGTATGGTTCCAGAATTCACTCACTTATTAGCCCCCATTGGCAGAATTAAAGTCCTCTGTAGAGGCCCAGGTAAGCTGCAGATAAAAGCCAGAGGCGCCATTCTGTGTGGTGGGTGTTCTATTCTGTCCTCAAACATTCTGGGTGAGATGGATACCGTTTCCATTTGAAAGTTTAGAAACTAAGGTTCCAAGAGGTTGTGATTTGCTCAGATAACACAGATAATTGGTGGCAGAACTGGAACTGAGCCCAGGATAACTAAATTCTAAAAGCTTGTATTCTTTTCACTACGGCATATGGCTTTCCAGGGAATCCATCATTCCTTTAACTAGGAAAGCCCTTATCTTTTGTATTCCAATTATAGTTCTCTTTTGGTACTCTGTGTTCCTTGAAAACAGAGGCTGTCTTTTTCTCTTTCCTTCCTTCCTTCCTCTCTTTTTTTCTCTCTTTCTTTTACTCATATGACTGTCAAAGAGAGTAAGAACTTCATATATGTTGTTGAAACTGAATGGTGATGGTTTACAGAATAGCTCTAGTGCTCAGGGAATTCCATATTGATGTTTCAAAGCTATGCTCAGCCTGTTTCCCCCAGAGTGAGAATTCCAAGCTTCCCAGTCAGCCATGCTCACTGCAATGTCAGCCAAAGGGCACGACTATGACACAGCTAGGGTAGCCACCTAATTTTCAAAGAAGAGGCCATCAGCCTAAAGATATGAACTCACTCACGACAGTGCTATGTCATTAGGGTGCAGAAGAAGGTAGAGTTTTTGAAAGGTAAATATCTCGTCCTTCTTTCTGGGAAGAACCCATGGCCTTGGTGAAGAGCAAAGTAGGCTGTTCCGTCTGATTCAGAGGAGTTATTCCGTTAATATTTATTGAGTGACCGATCACAACAGTGAATGAAACACACCACGTCTTCAATCATGGAATTTGAATTCTAGTGGTAAGAAAGATTCAGCGCCTTGGAAAAAATACAGCAGAGTGAAGGGATAGTGCGTGTTGGGGATGTGAGTGGGGCAAACTAAGAGACCTGAATGAAATTGAAAGGCAAGGCACACAGACCAGTGAGACTGCGGTACGGTGAGCAAGGGTGTCCTTATAGAAGTCAAGTCCGAGAGCTCACAGAAGATAGGTCACCGGGGCCAGGTCCAACAGGCCGTTGACGAGGCTTTGGAAGTTATGTGATGGGGATTCAGTGGTTGTGACCAGTAGAGGAAAAACGAATTGACTGCATCTTTAAAAGGAAAAATGGTGTTGTGCAAAACACACAATGATAACAGTGCAAAATAGGAAGGTGACCACAGTCTGGTGAATGGAAGGGGAAGACGATGGTGACTGGGGAGCGTGCTGAGAGCTCATATTCTGGATTATTTGGAAAGTCTAGCCAACAAGACTTGCTGTGTCTTGGAAACATGAGAATGGGGCAGGGGGCAAGGATGGCTCCCTAGTTTTCAGTTTGACCGGGGCAGTAAACAGATGCACCACGTCATGAGGAGGGGACTGCTGGGGGAGAGCCTAAGTGTATTCAAGAAATCCAGAGTTCTACACAGAATACTTGTACATTAAATTAGGTACCATGACTGCAGAATAATCCAGAGGTCTGTAAATATGGAAAAGATGGATCACGGACAACTGTTCACACTGAGCTGTGTGCACGTACACGCTCATTATACTGTGCTCTCTTGCAGTTTAAGATTTTGCTATGACAACTGTAGTTAGACACATTAAGTATGAGAGGCTCATTAGACTTTGTGTGGAGATATTATGTGGCTGTCTACGTGAACTGGAGTTCAGCAAGGAACTCGGGGCTAAAAATATGTGCGCGGTTATCGCATATTTAAAGCCAAGGGATGGGATGAGAATACTTATGGAGCGCACGAAGATAGAGAATAGGTCCGGTACTAAGAAACTGAACTCTCCAACATTCAGAGATGAACGAAAGGCATTTTACGTATCAAATTTACATAACTGCGTATCAATTTACTAAAAAATACATAACTTTGAATCAGCAATTCTGTACTAAGAATGTTTAAGGAGAAAACAGGACTAGAATATGCAGACCATGATACAGACTTATCACAATGCTTAGTAGGAAAGTAAAAAGATACAGCCAGGGGATGGTGCAAGGTCAAATAATCTGTCAGTCTTACAATAACGGCCCATCTGAATACATTACACTCATTCAATGGAATTGTGTACAACAGTTTAAAGTGATGCAGACATATTTTAGTGACCTGTAAATTCTCCCACTGAGAAAAGCTGATCAAATAAAGCATTAATTACAGTTTTATATTTATCTGTTACACTGCAAATAATGTACTTTGCACTTCCCATACTATCAGTAACCTAAAATAGTGAATGTTACTATTTTTGGTGGTAAAATTATGTACTTTTCCCCCTATTTCCCTTACTGGTATCTGTTTTATAGTTTTTCTCAATGGGTATTATAAAAATATATGTTTAAGATTTTTTTTAAAGTGTTATTTATTTGAGAGAGAGAATGTGTGTGAGAGAGCACAAGCAATGGGAGCAGAAGAAGAGGGAGAAGCAGGCTCCCCGATGAGCTGGGGGCTCCATCCCAGGACCCTGAGATGATAACCTGAGCCAAAGGCAGACACTTAACTGAATGAGCCACCCAGCTGTCCCACAAGTTTAAATTTCTAATAAAGTTCATTCAGTAATATGAAATACAAAGGACCTCAAGTAGGAACCTGATTGAATTGGTGAAAAATTGTATCAATACCAAAACATCTGTCTGACTGAAATAACTACTATGAATTGTTTTAAAATAAATACATCACAAATTTTAATAGTATATTAAATATTTTATTTAAATAAAGATATATATCATTTGTTCCACTGTTTTGATAAAATTTCAAATTATTTACAAATAATAATAATAATTCCTTGGGTACTGTATTTCAAGTATCGCAAAGCTGTCACGAAAACATATTTTTCAAAATGAACAGACTGCATTCTAAAATATAGTATATAAATCCAGACATAATACATATTACACAAAATTAAATAATCTAGGGATAAAATCATTTTAAACAGAGCAATTTACCTCTCTGTAATGGAAGTTACAACACATATACCATCTTGACATGTACTCAGTGTATTACATCTAGGAAAACCACTCCCTGTGAATACACTTTATCCTGGAGTACAGTTCACGTGAAAACATTCTCTTTAAAACATACTCTGTTGCAAAAAAAAAAAAAAAAAATGTGGGCTAAGTACTTTAAAACTTCAAGTTTCTTTTAATTAAATTCATCTAATTTTAAGTTATTTCTCCTAATTTACCTAATGACATCAACAAGGTTTTATTCATGAGCTTGCCCTTAACCTTAAAAAATAAATTTGTTTACATTTCACACTTGAAAGAATGTTAGCCTTCAATTTAAAAGAAATATTTTTATAAGTGCATTATAGCAATTCTGCTTCTTTCTTGTAATGCTTTAATTAGATAAAAACTATTAAAATTTTGACCTCAGAAAATCCACTTAGATCAATACTTTTAATGACTCTAAAAGCTTATGAATGTAACCAATTAATATTTGAGTCAAAATTCTCAAATTCTATAGGGATATTATATAAATGTCTCTTCATTAAACTGTTTATTTCATCTTGGTTTTAAAAGTCACTGAATACCACATGGCTAAAAGAATTTTTTATTTCTTGGCTTTGGTCCATTCAGTGTCTTGTCTATCTCATATATTTAAATTGTTTTTCTGTATCTCATAATACTGTTTAAGCATAAATTTTAAGGGATTAAAAATAAAATACAGTTTCATTTTTTATCAGGACCCCTTGTCACAACCCCTTGTCACCCCTTGCCACTGGACCACATGCTTTCCTCTGTAGAAAAGCTAGCTTTAAACCAAATACCGATTTTCCTCCTGCAACTCACACTTGTCTATTGAATCAATGACCCAATCTTGTTGCAGGATTTTAAACTTTCTCTTAAGAGTTCTTCGAAAAGCTTTTAAATCTGCCACACGTCTCTGATCCTCCCCAACGATGACATGAGACACTCCCTGAGCTAAACGAGAAACCACTTTGGCTCCATGAAATCGAAGCTCCAAAGCCGTAACGGTTAATCTTGTTCCCTTGACGCTGGTACTCAAGTCATTAATAACCGCATACAAGTCCACGTAAACAATGCAGTGCCGAAACATACTGAGAGGGCAGCGGTCCCAGGAATACCGATGCTCTAAATCAGCAATCACAGAGGGCATTTCTCCAGGAGCTTGTGCGCCAGAATTTTTAATTCCTGAGAACACTTCCTTCAGTCGGTTCAAATCCGTATCAACGAAATAACTGTCACCGTAACAATCGTATTCACGGGCAAAATGCTCCTTTGTCGACGGGCACATGTGAATCATAAAGTGAGGCTGCCACGGCACGCAGCTTTTGGTCTTAAAACACTCCAACAGCCACTCGGGCTTGACAACATCGTGTTTGTCCGAAGAAATTATATTTTTCACTCTGATGTTCTCGGACCCTGCAATGACGCAGTACGTGTCTGGGCCTGGATTCTGCACTATGTAACCCCCAAATTCTGCAATTCTGTTCTCCAGATCGGGCTTCGGATGGCCGTCCGTGCCGCTCATGACACAGAACTCCACGTCTTCAAATATATTAGACACTTTGTTTACATTAGAAAGGTTGGGTGCTTTTAAGTGCTCGATAATGCCGATAACTTTCCTCATCTTCGGGGCAGCTTTCCGCTTCTTTTCTTGTGGCTCATCGCTGTCGCCGACGTAAAGGTGTTTAGAAGCCAGCTTTCCCGACGCTTTTCCGCGAAGCTGCTCCAGCCCGTCCAGGGTGGCGCACTCGTGCCACTCTTTGTCTTCTCTGATCCTCTCAATTCGTGGAAAACGCAGTGTGCAGCCAGTCTTATACATATCGCTGGGGACGATCTCTGTGGCCTTAACCTGAACAATGACAGAATGACAAGGCTCGATGTACACCTCTGGCTTCTCTGTTCCACATAAAATGCTGCTCGGTGGAGCTTTTCTATGGAAAGGCTTCCAGTGTTTGGCCAACTTCAAACCCAGATCGTATAGTTCTTTCATGGTGTAACCTGAACCGACACGGCACAGAGTATGAAACACTGACGGTTTTTCACCAGGAGGAGGCGTCTCTGCTACGGCACATAAGAAATGAGACATCATTCCCCCTCGTGAACCCTTACCCCAGTAGCCCCCGACGATTAAGATGTCCAGCTCATCCACCAGCCCGTCCACGTACTCCGGTTTAATCTTCAGCCATCCTTCGCCTCTTTTGTCTGGCTTGTAAATCGACAGAGGATGTTTTATCATGATCCCCTCTTCCCTTTTATCTATTGCTTCATTCAAAGCATCGATCACTTCTTTCTGAGTATGAGCTTGTGTCTTCTGCACTATTTCTATCCTGCCTGGTATTGGTGTAAAAACACTGGTAAGAATCTCATACCTCTTTTTCAGGGTCTCACGTCCCAGCTTTTTATTATTAACCATCAGTACATCAAACACACAGTAACAAGTCTGCAGATCAGAATCCTCCACCATTCTTTTGATATCAAACTTAGTCCCCTTTTGCATGAAAGTCTGTGTGTTAGGGTTGAAGGCCATCATCTCGCCATCCAGGATACAGATCTGTATGTCTGTTTTGAACGCACTGTGAATGAACGGTGTAAGAGAACCTTCCTGTGGAGATTTGCCGAACTGATCCGTGTAGTTAAATCCGTTTCGGGAGAAGTACTGGTACTCCCCACCCTGCTTGTGCATTTGCATGCGCTCCCCATCAAGCTTGGTTTCAATGTAGAAGCTCTGGTGTTTCATGTCCTTCTCGATCCGCTCAATGTCTGCTATAGCAGCCAGCATCGGTTTAAAGGCTGAGAATAAAGTGATGGAAATGTCACTGAGTCCTACAGAAGGATCATGCAGCTGCCTGCAGACTTTTTCCAGATCTGTGGTGACATTATGCAACTCGGCAGCATCATTATGGAAAACAGAAAATACGGACTGTTCACTGAAACCGAGTTTTAAGTCCTTTACAATCATCCGTATAAGCCACTTCTGTTCCAGTGCTGAACTCTGACTTATTAGCTGAAGAAGACTCTTCTTAATTAGGTCCTTTCTTCCGGCAGAATTATTGCTGGCAATTGAGTCTAAAATGTCATTTACCTGCTGTATGGTTAAACTTCCTTTCTGCAAACATCTTGGTTTCAACACAAAATATGCAATTATTGCAAAGTCACCAGCATCTCCACGAGTTCCGGTGGGCGTTCTGTAATTTAAAAGTTTAAGGGCATCTTTTCCTCCTTTAGGCAAATTAAGCAATTCGATATAAAGTTTAGCAAGCATGGTTTCCTTGATTCCATACGCCATTCTCTCTCTCTCCAGCTGAGGAAGAATAAGTCTCATTGCTGGATAAAAAGAGTCTTTGACATCTTTTTGGTTCTTATGAAGGGCATCGTGAAATCTTCTCCAAGAATCTAAAAATTCCCTGAAGTGTCTCATTTTTTCTGCTCGTCCTTTACTTCTCTGTATTCGTTCTAACGTTGAGCACAAGTCTGCAAAAGGAACATGAGACGCAACAGTTGGTGAAGTCTGCGAGGCAGCCATGGAGGCGATGGTGAATTCTCTGGTTTAACTAGGAAGGCAAAAAGAGAGTAATTTTCAATAAAAGACAAAATTCAACTAAATATTTCATGTAAAGACCTTACAGACAGTGTCTCATTTGTGATCAATGCTTGCTAAACGAAACCAAATTAATGCTAGAAACTTGTCTCTTTTCAATCTCTACATTCAATGAAAATCAACTATTTTACTTCCATCCTATTTAGAATTTATTATCAAAAGTATCACCAGCCCCTTTCTGTACATTTACAATACTGAAATCAACCACTTTGTCTTTCTCCCTAAGTTCCAACTTCTATTGAATTAATGAATCCATTCCTCATTTAGTTCATCGTGCAAAGGAATAACACAACCACAAAAACAAGGCTCAATTCATTTCATTTCTGGGCTTCTGAGATAAGGCCTTTCCTGACATTTCTCCTCCTCTTCTGTCAGACGACCACACAGCATCAGAAACAGGCATTTTTAACAAATCACTGAATTGAAACTTGGCTTTGCGGGTACTGTAGGAGTTCACCCAAAAAATGAATCTTCTCTTTCAGCCAAACAAAGCCCATATCTGTGTTTACTTTCACTTCACTGTTAGCAAAGCCGAATCACTCCCGTGCCCAAAACCCAACTCAGAACACCCTTCCTATGAAATCCTTATTTGACCTACCTCTTTTAAATCTATTTTATCATAGCTACTCAATGGCTTTAGCAACTTAAATTCATTAGCACACTTTTCTGTTCCTATTCGCATGCAACTACCCCCCAACAATTCACTGACTACATATGTGCCAGGCACCATACTGTTTCTGCCTTAAGAGAGCATGTGTTCTGGGGCGCCTGTGGCGGGGCTCAGTGGGTGCAGCATCTGCCTCAGCTCAGGATCCTGGGACTTGTGCCAGATTCTCTGCTCGGACTCCCTGCAGCAGGGAGCCTGCTTCTCTCTCTCCCTCTGCCACTATCCTGGCTTGTGCTCTCTCACACTCTCTCCCTCTCTCAAAAAAATAAATAATATCTTAAAAAAAGAAAGAGCGAGCATACATTTTGTAAAGAGAAAGGGGATCTAATGGGAACTAATTATGAAATGCTAAGTGTTTTAACAGAAGTAAAATGTCATGAGACAGCTTTTCACTAAAGCATCTTCTTAAGTCAGAGAGGAAATAACAGATACCTCGTTGGGTTAGGGTCTAGATTGTTTGCCAAAGTGATCACCACAACTGTGAAATTTCTTTGAAGTTTTAAATATTCATGCAAATTTTTTAGGGGGGGGTGAGCAGAGGGAGCAGGAGAGAGAGAATCTTAAGCAGGCTCCTTGCCCAGTGCAGAGGCCCCCACGGAGCTCCATCTCACACTGTGAGATCATGACCTGAGCCAAAATCAGGAGTCGGAAGCTAAACCAACTGAACCACCCAGGCGCCCCAGCAAATTCTATTAGAATCTATAAGATATCAGAGCTACTATATGATTTACACTATGTAACATTAAAATCAACTAACTTTTCCAAAAAAGACTTCAAGTAAAAATATGCATTTCAGGAATATAAACTGTGTCCTATCTTGTGGTTTTAGACATCTCCTGGCACATCCCTGTGTCCCCTAGAGAGCAGGGAGGAGGGAGTTCTCAAGGAGGAGGAGGGAGGAGGGAGATGCACTGTCCTCTCAGAGACCAGGAGATTCCCCATGGCAGCACGCGAGACAGCACACACTGCGAGCGCAAGGCCGCACCCTCTGACACGTGGCACAAGAAATCCAACAGCCGGTAGCGGCACCACTGTCACCACGCTGCCGGTCCCCGGAGGTCAGGAGCAGTACTTTGTGTCAGTAGTGCCTGGTACACGGTAGGTTTGTGGAGTGAATTACGGAGCGACTAGAGTTGAGCTCCTGCAGAAGCACACTAGCAAAGGCCGGCGGCTGGTCATACATGGCACAACCCTCCCCGCCCCCAGCCCCACTATGCCTCGTGGGATTCGGTTTTGTGAAAAACATGTAGCAGCTATGATTGCACTGGGAAACTGCCACAACAGCCATTTGGCCTTCTCCGCCCAATGCCTGACAAAGGAAACCCAGCTTCTATGGAGTCAGTTAGACCATGAGACAAAACCCATGAGAGACCACTTTCCCCAGCCTTTGATCTTTGAACACAGTGACTGCTCCCCTGGTCTCATTTGCATAACTGACTGAAACACCGGGTTAGATGTGTTCACTGTCTACCTCTCCAAACGTGCCCCCTCAAGCCAGCGCATTATGCGACGTGCTATGCTCACAGCTCATATATGACACACACGTGAAACACAATGTTAAGAAACACTTCTTGGAATGTTCAAGACGGGTCTACAGTTTCTGATCTATCTGAATGTTCTACGTGGTCTCAGTTTCCCTCAACAAGTTCCAGGAAAAGACTCAGACTACTTTATAACAACACTGAAGTCGACCCTACACATGTGTGCCAAAACTGCTAAAAATATAACAAGGGTCCCAGAGTTAGGATGAAATGAAGAGACAAATGTTTTTAGTCCTTAAAATGGACAAGAAAATCGCTTCTCAGCCTCCTGGCTAAGATCAAGTGTCAAACTGCACAGGAAAATAAAAATTTGTACAAAACAGTCAAATATTAGGATTTCCATTGAACATTAAACATAAAAGGATTTCCCTGTAAACATTCTCTTATTGTCTGGATTCTGAGGCCGTCCGCCGACGGTTTAGATTTGTGAAAACAACTGAACAGCGTGTGGTTAGGGCTCGGGCCCTAGAGTCCAACCAATGTGAGTGTAACTGGGGGCTCCAGCGTTAACAGTGTGACATGGGCCAACCCCGCACCCTCCCAGAAACTGCGTGAGTGTGAAGCGGGGTCCACCACCGAAGGTAAGATGAGGCGGCGTCAGATGCCCACACAGGTGCGAACACAGGACGGGGCGGCCAGCAAGCCCTCGGCTAATCCGGTACCGCACTGCCGGCGGATGCAAACGTTTAAAACGCTTCATAAAGGGTTAAGGACACAAGCGAGGGGCGCGCTCTGCTCGGACGGAGAGCAGCAGGACACGCGGACGGACACCACCAGCATCGTGCGACACTAATACAACACACACCGGAACGACCCGTCGTCTGCCAGCCGCGGCCCTGCCGTCCTCAGGCGACACGGCAGAGCCAAGAGCAGGACCGGGCTCGGTGCCCGCGACGGCCCGGCCGCTTCCCGGAGAGCGCGCGACCCGCCTGCCTCCCCCGACGGCGCGAGGGCCTCCCCGGGAGCCGAGCCTCCCCGAGCGGCCCCTCCCACAGCACCCGCCCCCGGGCCGCTCCGGGAAGCGGTCCGCGGTGGGGAAAGGCCAGGAGGCGGGAGCCCGGAGGCTGACAAAGGACGGACTTAAGAAGAGAAACGGGCCCCGGACGTCCGTCCGGCTCCCCCGGGTCCACACCACGCCCCCGCCCCCGCGGACACCCGCCCGGATCCCGGCGGACGCTGGCGCGGGGGCGGTCCCGTTACCTCTCGGAGCCGAGCGTCCCCGCGGGCCTGGGGAGACGAGGTCCCGGAGTCGGAACGTGCGCGACCGCGGCGTCGCAGGGGCCAGCGCGGCCCGGGAGGCGGACGCGGGCGAACCCGAGCCTAGCCCGCGGCCCGGAAACCCCGCACGGAGGGACGGCCGCCCTCCGGCGCCGCGCGGTCCCCGAAGGGCCCGGGCCCGCACCTGTGACCCCGCCGGGGAGCGGGCCTGAAAGACTTTCTGTCCGGAAACAAGAAAAACAAACCTTCAAGACCAAAAGCATGTGGCGGGCCGAGAAAACGAGGGACGGCGTCCGCCCGCCGGCACTTGGCCGCCGGCTCTCCCCGGGCACTCCGACGTCGCCGCCGCGCACACGTCCGACCGGAAGCGCAGCCCCGGGTGCGGTAACCAAACCGGAAGCCGCCGGCCGAGGGCTGTTCCGCCAGCTGCTCCGGGCGCAAACGCAATCGTTCCTGAAGGCCGGGTAGTGGGAAGGTGTCCCTGACGTCATGAAGATGATGAGAGCGGACGCCGTCACTGCGCCAGGCCGTGACGTCATAGGGATGATGTGCGCAGGCGCAGTGGCGCTCGGGGCGGGAGCCTTGCAAGGCTGCGGAGGTCTCCAAGGAGCCCTGGTATTAGTGTGACTACAAGCAACTCCCGGTCGCCTCCCAAAGCAGCAGGTGCTCTTCGCAAGTGCCTGACCCAGAGAGAGGGTTCCGTCTCCGAGCGACAACCGGAAGCACCTTGTGTACTGACCCATACTTGGACTATGAACCTAGGCCTCTCCCTGCTCGGCCTCATAGAGTTCTGTTCTCTGTCTGTAAGCAGTGGTACCAACACTCATCTCACTGGTTGTTGTGAAAATGCCCTGATTCGAAAAGGGCATCTTCCCTCCCAAAATGTCTGCTGTTCCCTTTAAATGGAAAAATAAGCTTTTGCAAAATTGCCTAAGGCTGTCCTTTCCTATTTGTTTCTCAAGATGGTACAACTTTGGTGTGAGTTCTTGTCTCTTCGTACAGAAATAATACGTAACTCATACAAATACATAATATATAATTCTTTTTTTTAAATTTATTTATTCGACAGAGAGAGAGATCACAAGTGGGCAGAGAGGCAGGCAGAGAGAGAGGGGGAAGCAGGCTCCCCACCAAGCAGAGAGCCCGACGTTGGGCTCGATCCCAGGACCCTGGGATCATGACCCGAGCAGAAGGCAGAGGCTTTAACCCACTGAGCCACCCAGGTGCCCCCATAATATATAATTCTTAATACAGACATAAAGATTTGCATGCCCAGAAATCAACTATAGACTCTTCTAGTATCTGTTCGAGGATTCCAAATAAAGGTACTGGGCAAACCCTTATTCAGCACGCATACAGTAACTGTGCTAGGCATGCAAGATTGAGAGAAAACAAACTCAGTCCTTATGTTCCAGGAGCTGTTGATTTCTACCAGTGTTTTGTTATGGGTTGTCTTCTTTCATGGAGAATTGAGAAATTATCCATGACGATGGGGAAACAACCTTTATAATTATTCAACTTAATTATCAATTTGTTTTGGAGTAGCACCCAACGGTGTTGGTAGAGGACCCCCCCCCCACAGTTGCCCATCTTATGAAAGGGCATTTGTGCACATTTGCACCTTGTTCAGCATCTACTGAGCTCCTACAATGTCAGAGTTCTCACTTTATATTTTTCATACAAGAGAAGAACCAAGGATTATGAAACCAAACTCCAAATTAATTCAAATCTTAGTCTCCAATTCACCATTATATTTTAGCCTTTCTAAAAGGTTTTATTTATTTGAGAGAGAGACAGTGAGAGAGAGAGTGAGAGGGGAGAAGGTCAGAGGGAGCAGACTCCCCATGGAGCAAGGAGCTTGATACTGGACTCTGGGATCATGACCTGAGCTGAAGGCAGTCGCTTAACCAACTGAGCCACCCGGGCACCCATATATTTTAGCCTTTCTAATGCTTGGTTCAAAGATAATCAGGGGGTTTTCATTAAGTATCTTTTAGAGGTGCTGTGATTATTACTTTATTTATGTCAGTAGTCTCCCTTAGTGCCTGGCATTATTGGTGATAAATAACAAGAAGCTATTATCAGAGCCTTTGACCTGGAGCTCTCCATCTGATGGAGGATACATGTTTGTCTGTTGTTTTTAAATATGAAATATTCTTTGTATATATAAAATAGGGCACGGAGAATGGGGAATGATTGAGGGAGAGGGACAGATTCTGTGGAAAACCAATTGAGTGCCTAGAAGGGCTGATAGTGAAGCTAATGAGGGATGCCTGGGTGGCTCCGTGGGTTAAGCCTCTGGCTCTCGGTTGCAGCTGGCGTCATGATCTCAGGGTGGTAAGAGGGAGCCCTGAGATGGGCTCCATGCTCTGCGGGGAGTGGGCTTGAGATTCTCTCTCTCTCTCTCTGTCCCTCACCCCACTTATGCTCTCTCTCAAAATACACAAAATCTTAAAAAAAAGAAAAAGAGCGAATCTAATGAAACACCAGCTTTAAGGGCCCATTTGTGCGGCCATTTCCCAGGACTTGGACTCTTGCATGTTCCTCTGGTCTTGTGCTTTTGTAAAATTTGCAAAAATAAGATAAATTTTGTATTCTTTTTCTTTGAAAGGCCCTCTAGTCTCCCCAGGTTCAGGCCTCTGATAGAGGCAGGAGAGGGCAGGGCTGCGAGAAACAGAATCAACGTGAGCTATGCACTCCTTTTAAGTACTTGGGGGAACACACTCTAATACCCGGTAGCTCTACCAGGCAGACACGCTTTCTTATGTAATTAATACTTATTTGTGTGCACGCTTAGAACTGTGTCCTGAAGGGAAGTCTGGTGCGTTACCAACACTCACCCTGAGGTCCTCGGATGAGGGCGGAAGGCCTCCAGGGGCCCCCGGGCGCAGAAGCCACCGGGGAGCGCCCAGCGAGCTCCCGCACGGCGCGGGCCGGGCTCCAAGGTATCTTGTCCGCGCGGGCCACCGTCGCGGGGGACACCCCCGACTGCGGTTTGTGCGCATGCCCGGGAGGGCGGGTCGGATTCTCAGGGGAGGAAGGCGGAGAGGAGAGCAGGTGATGTGGGAGCCGGCGGGGACATTTGCCGGCGACACCAAGCGTGGGCCGGAAGTGGAGGAGCCGAGAGCGGCGCCGCAAAAGCTCCGGGCTAGACCGTGGCGACGGCGGCGGCCCCTCGGCTGGCGGAGGACGATGAGGAGCGACGGAAGCCGCGCGGGGGGACTCTGCTGCGCGGCGCCGGGTTCCGAGTCCGCGGCCGACTGCGCAGCCTGCGAGCGGGTCTAAGTAAGTGCGGTGCGCGGCCGCCGGCCCCGGTGCGCTCCCGCCGGGGTAGGGACGCGGGGGGCGGCCGGCGGGGCCTCCCCGGGGCTGCGCGACGCGGACGGGGGCCGGGCGAGGGGCCCGGACGGAGGCGCAGCGTGGCCGCAGGCGCGCCGTTACCGACGGCCCCGGGTGCCGTGCGGCGACCGGACCTGGAGCCGCTGTCCGAATCCGCGCCGCGGCGCTCCCAGCAGCGCGCCAGGACCGGTCCTGGGAGACCGCCGCCCCCCCCCCCCGCCCCCGGCCTCCCCCGCCCGGAGCTGAAGCGCGCCGGAAAATCGCCAGCTGCTGGGGCGCGGGGACCCGCGGGTCCACGCGGGGAAGTTTGGGGCGTCGAGGAAACCGCGCGAGCGCACCCCGCGCGGCGGAAGCCCATCGTGCTGCGGGTTTCCGTCAGCGTTTATTTTGTGCAAAATGCATCAGTGGTGTGCCTGCCCCGGGTGTCCTGACCCCGAAACCCGGGCTTGCTTCTGCAGCCGCTTTACGCAGGTTTGCCGGGTGGTGGTCACGGAGTGAGACCCGCGAGACCGGACGGGCTGCGAGCTCGGGTTGGATTTTCATGGAGCCCCTCCCGGCTTCCTTCCGCGCGGGGTAATACTTCTTTGTGTGCACGCTTACATTCCTCACGTTTTCTACGAGAAAGTTAGATTTCGTTTCAGGAAGGAGCAGTTGGCTGTAACCGTGCGCTGTCCTCTCCTCAGTGCCGACCCGAACCACCGACCGCTCCGTTCAGTAACTGTGCAGGCTCACTGCGCGCCCCGCACTGTCTGCTGAGAGCGTGGAACCCAGTAGGTGCGGCCCCGGCCTCACGGACTGCCCGCCGGTGCGAGACAGGTGCCGGTTCCACCGGGGCAGTCAGTGCCCCCGTCCGCGCGTGCGGACGCAGAGCGTGGGGCGGGCGCCCCAGGACAGGGCCAGGGAAGGCTTTCTGAAGGAGCTGCTACCCGAGCTGGGTTTTGACAGAACAAGTACGGCATTGCCCTAATTATTTCCTGTGCGCAAGTACTCAGGTATTCTCCGGTGAGTCTTACCCATTATTTAATGCAAGTCTAGCAGGACCTGTAGCTGTGCTTAACTTTCACTTACCCTGCTCTGGTGGATCATAAATCACTTTAAATTTTGTTTTATAGAAGCAGCTGCAGTAACACACTACCTATTACATTGATCCGAGCAGTGTTTCAGTTACACGTTTCATCTCGCCTTTACCTGTGCGGAAACAAGCATTTAGAGATGCTAAGTGAGTTCACGAAAGTCACCCAGGTAATAACAGACCAAGCTGGAAAAAGCCTCTTTCCACTGCGCGGCACTGCTGCCCATTGGTCGTTGATCTGAGATGATGCCTGTAAGCCAGCTCCTGGCTGGCTGTACCTCCCGATCCTGGGGCCCACATGCCTTCTCAGGCACACCTCCAGCCCCTTTGCCCTCTGAGTGACAGGATTTAGGAACCAAGTTGTTCTGGGTTAACAGTATCACTTAGAGATAGGTTTTCCTATGAGCTCCCGTCTCCTGTTTCTCATCTCAGGGGAATCTATTCCTTTGTCTCTGTCTTTTACTCATTTAGGACTCAGTGATAACTCAGATTCTAAAATCTTTCTGGTTCTTGTTTAATCACTCCAGGAAGGCCTGAGGCCCATGATGCCCTTCTTAAATTGAGACCAAAAGAGTTTCTAGTTTTTCTAATTCTTCTAATTAAGATGATTTTCCCTCAAATGATACACTTCGTAGTGAATTGTTATATTTTGTTACTGTTTCTAATATGTCTTAACTCCTACAGCAGTATGTTCCAAAGTTGCAGAGGAGTAGTATTTCTAGGGCTTGAACTATATGCATTA